TTAATCATCAATGATTAGTAATTCAAATAGAATTTCACACAACTATATTATCGATTACCGCTAATTCTCAGAATTCAAACATTTATGAGTCAAAATGTTCAGCAATTATCCGTCAACTTGTTTACCATTCTCGACCTCTTTGTTTGTTATGGATCTGCGTCGATGGTGACTGGATACTAATCGACTTCATTATCGAACCAATTCAACAGCCATTCAGTTTCGTACGCATTAAAAACGTCCGACAATTCTTTCCGCTGTTTAATTTAAAAAATCAGTTGCAGAAGTGATAAATCTAGTCTCTGGAATATCAACTCGATCTGAAATGATGCGATGAAATGATAGAAAAATAAATAAACGACTGATATCTCTGAGAGGGGAATGGACAGTGTTTATCACTGAGAAACGAGCGTCAATTTTTTGTTCATGAAATTCTATTCGGGTGAACGGATGACTCGAGGTCACGGGCCTCATCCCGGTAGCTCGGACAATTGACACCAACGAGAGGAATAATAGTTTTACACAAGGGAAGAACCCACACGAATCAAGGTCTTCATGTCATAATTCACGTGATAATTATTAGACGAGGTAAAATAAATATTAACGTTTCTCTGTATTGACAATGATAGCTCCAGGAGACGAGATTTATCCAACTGTTAATAACTTCAATTAATTATTTCATTTATTAGGTATTGATTTCATTGTTTTAATATATTGAGTGGGTGTAATGAGTCTTTAAATTTATTTCTTCATACTATTAATTTTTCATTTTATATTCTATTTTATTTGTTTGTTATTTTTATACGAGTGAAGAATCAAGACAAATCAGGGTCTTGATATAATCATTCACCTAATAATTGTACAGGAGAAAATAAATATTAATGCTTCTCTGCAATGAAAATAATAGCCTCGGGAGAATGGGGATTATCCGGTAGTCAATACGTCCAATTAACTGTTTTGTTTCATTTTATTTTATTGAACGTCATTGAATGTTTTGCTCGATTAAAAAGTCGATTTATAGGGTTTTAATGATTTTATCGTTGAATAGAGCGTGTAATGGAGTTTCTAATTCCCATGACATACACCATGACGTACACCAAAAAAAAAAAATATATTTCATGGGCAGTTGATCAGTAAATTGCAGAAGTCTCACTGCATTCGATTTTGGGGAAAAATTATGAAAATAATGATTCAATCTACGATCCAGGAGTCATTGATCCACAAATGTCGTTTCATTGTGCCATTTTTTAAAAATCCATTGTACTCAAGAATAGAGTCTTTTTTTCTTCATTGCTGCTATACTATTTTATCGATCTACCATAAAATATCATCCCAATAATTCTCGTGCTTGAAATTCATTTTAGATCGACTGATCAGGAGAAATAAAAATGAAATAATATTTTCCACTAGTGAGAATATTGTTGCGTACCCGCATTACTTGGTTGCAACCATTCTCACATATGTATCTGGAAAACCTAACGTTTTTTACAATAGATACGATATGTTCTCAGCATAGGGAAGAATTAATGTCCTCCAAATAATGGTTCAATAACGATTGCCCAATATCAGGGTTTTCCAGGTCGTAAAGATTAAAAGAATGTAGTCGTTTGACAAGGGGAGCTTAAAAAAGGCATAAGCTATTGGAGCTAACTCTGCATGAGCACAACCAGTAGTTCTCTAAATGGAACGAATCGTTTGGAGGCAAATGATCCGGTTCAAGAATAGCACGTGCATTCCCCTCTATTACTCGGTTTATTTTCACCTCTGTTTATTTCTCCCGGATAAAAGAATTCCAATAATTGGATGAAAAAGGAAGAGTATCTCTTGATGTGGAGAGCTCAATAGATTCAAAGTGCAACTACCGGAAGAATACTTTAAATCATCCTCCGGACGAATATTATTCCACGACTTCTGAGATAACAGTGCCTCTATAAAATTGAAATTAAATGACATGCTTAAAGTCATGCCTTGAGAAATAAACACTTGAGAAATAATTATAACGATGACGCTCGTATTAAGGATAAATTCTTGAGAAAATTATTTGGATGGTTCCAAGAAACTTTGCCGGGAAAAATTATACGCAATCTCGGGTGTAAAAAATTCCTGTGAGTAAAGGAAAACAATAAATTGCAGTACCAACTCGTTTTGCTCAAAGTACCTGCATTCCACCGAAATGAACTCCTCTATGAATGCCGTTATTCTTTGGATTTAAAAATACCAGGGGAGCATCGACTTGAGGGAGAGGTTTCCCTCGAAATAGACAGCGAATGCTGAGTCTTCAGGGCTATGGTATACATATGTATAAGGGTCATATATATACTGAGGAATATATGGGTACCCGGGGGGCACTCCATTGCTTGAACTCCTACACGTTGAGTTCATTCAATCGTTTCTGGTCTTTTATCCCTAATTTTGCTATGTTATCATTATTATCATTTGCAAATACCTTCCGCCGTTCGAATAAAATCCTGTATTTTATCGTCAATAGTTCGAGAATCGCACTGCGGAATTGGATGATGATTTTATCACTTTGAAGGTATTTTTTCAAGCTCCAAGGTGAAATCGGAGCTGTTCAAATCGCATCAGCTGTTCGGGTGATATCGATCTCTTCAAATACCCCAATGCTTGGATAAGAAACACAAATTTTCGAGATATTAAAGTATTTTTGCGGTTTTTTGTATTTTTCTAAAAGTCATTATCTGCGTTTGTAGTTGGAGATCTCTTTCTATTGAAGCTCTTTTTACTAATTATTCCTATTTTTATAACCGTACATTTGATTCTTCATTTCAAACCATTGAACAATATTTTTTTTTATCTGATTTTTTTTACATGAACTTATTTTAATGGTATAAAATGATATATCAATTAATTTCTATGTAATTTCTAAGATTTATAATTATTTTCTGGTCGAGTTGAAAGAATTCAATAAACTTACATAGAATTGCAAAAATATCAGCTTAACAAGATGAATTACTGAAAATGTTTCCGTGATCATCACTTAAAATAGAATTTCCACATTCCTGAAGATATCCTGAGATGAGATTAGTCCTCCCAGAGGTTACATACACAACTTTAGACTTTGAACTTTGATGCAGGAACTCGACTAACCTTGAACTTCCCCCTCTACACCTTGGACTTTTGGGGTCGTATTGCCTCCAGTGTTCTTTTCATTAATAAAAACCCGTTGGAATTACTTAAGAGAGATGTATCCAAAAAGCTGCTGGAGCTGACACTTTTGCACGACTTCCTTGATAGCACTAATAGTTGAGAAAAAATGTAATCAGGTCACCATTTAATCTTCCTGCCCAGTGAACGTACCAATCACGGTACACCACTACTCTCACCGATTCTAGGATGCTTAATTCCAGTTCATGTAAAAACCAAAGGCTCTTGGAGCTCAACCAATCTTGGAGAATGGTCCGGAGAATTTCATTGTTCAATTTCCTCGACTAAGTTTAACTCATAATCTCGTCATAGAGGAAAAATAATTATCCAATTAAGGATATAGCTCAAACACTTTTTTCATAAAACAACGAATGACTGCGTAATAAAAATGCTCGATTAGATAAAAGTCATTTCTGCGATATGCAGGGGGCAACCTTCTCAATTCTAGATAGTTTGCGGCTTGCACGACATTTAGTTCCCTTGGCATATGCTTAGACAGTAATTATCTTGGTTTTCATCTTAATTTTCAAGGGTGAATCTCAGAAACATGAATTAAAGTAGCAAAGGGCTGGGCAAAATCGACCCGCGGGGCAAAATTGATTGGTGAACATTTTTTTTATTGCTGATTACATAACATTCATTGTATTGTATACCCACTATTTTTAATATTTAGTTTAGCATATACGGAGTCATTTCCCACCATCTGTTAGCAACGACAACACTAAAAACCCTCGTCCATTTCACCACTTTTTTCTAGAAACCCAACAAATCGGTTTATTTGACCAACCCTAATAAAAATACTCCTAACTACTCAACCGAGTACCTCGGACCCCAAATCCCCGATTTACATTCTAAGCATTAACCTGGGCCTTTCCCTCAATATTCCCACACCTACACCTGGACCTCCACTTTGACCTGATAAGGCCAGCTCATGGAGGTCATGTCATTTCCTTTCATATCCACCAATCACCTGCTTTGGGCCTTTCTCCCTCCACTTTCTTTCCACCCCTACTGATTGTCCATTACAACCCCAAATCCAAACTTTTGCAAAATCTAACAGATCAGATTAAATCGAACGCTCTAAGAACAACAGTCAGGAAGATATCCACAAATAGTGACTCTGTTTTAAGTTTCATTTTAATGAAAGAGATTTCGAATATAAAGTTTGAAGTTTATTCTTATTTTACCGGAATCCAATAATTGTATAAAATGTTCATTTACAAAATTATTCTTTGAGTCGGCGATTTCTTAGTTATTAAAAAAGATATTGATTAATGAAAAACGAGAAAAACAAGAAAAACAACAGAAACCTTGAAAAGCAAGTAGACCATTTCATCTTCTGAGGCTGTGCAATTCGAATCGGCCTAAGGTCAGCTAGAATTATTGTAAGTCTCGAATATTTTGAAAACCCAGAGCACCAGGTTAAGCAATGATCGTAACACGTTCAAGTTATTGGAATCAACTTGCTCACAAGCACGCTACAAAATTTATCCTATAATTATGCTATCAACAATTAAAAAAGAAAATTTCACCGGCCCATTTTACCCCACCCTCCCCTACATATATTGCTTTTTTTGTTTTTCAATCTAAACATATTATGTTATTAAAAAAAAATAAGTATAAATTGTAATTGTCATTGTAATTATTATTATTTTTGAATTTTAAGAATAAGATAAATAACCATCCCCATGATTATGACTTGCCTTGGGCTAACTAGATTACTGATAAAACATATTTTTTTTATAACTTTTCAAATGAAATATAAAATGTAATGTTGGCGGGTGTTGTTTCAGGGAGGGCGAGGGTGGAGGGGGTGGCGGGGGCGGGCGTACCGCATCCGGGGGCGGTGGTAGGCGAGCCCCGAGTCTTCGTCTGGTGAACGGCAGGGCGACCACTGGGGTTGGCCTGCATACCAGCAGCACCGAGTCCGTCCGTTCACCCCATCAGCATCTTGGTCATCAGAACAGCATAAACAATAACAACAATTATTATGCCGCTAACAATGTATCATCGAACAATCACTGCAAGTTGAACAAGGATGACAGCATCAAGATCAGCATCGAGAATACCAACACGTGCACCGACAGCCTCGTCACAGCGTTAGACGACGAGACACTTCTCATTACTGATTTCCTTAACGACACAGGCAAGTTTTATTGAATCATTCAACAATTCAACAGAACCTCCACTCAAATTTTTCACATATTTATTGATTTTTGTAAAATATGTCTTTTCCAGACAATATTTTTCATTGAATTTGCCAAAAAAAGATGGAAAAACAATCAGAAAAATATATTCCAAAGAATTCACCGAAAGTTTTATCCCAGCAATTTTCAGTAATTAGTAACATTCATATGAAAGCAATCCGGCAGTCATTCGAATTTTAATAATTCATGTATTCGTAATTATCTTCAATTAGTTTTCAAATTTCACCAGGAAGTCATTGAAATTCACAAATCAAGGTTTCTTTCATCGTTTCTATGTCTGACATGTCATCCGTCGTCATGACGAATTTTCTTTTCATTATACTTTCGCTTTTCACGCTTTCTCAAGTGGCAAAAGGTTTCACCCTAATTTTTCGAGGTCGCAATGATGTACAACTTGACCTCGTCACGTGCATTACCACGGACATTAAACAATTGGAGCGTTTCGCTGTAAACGCGGAAATCTCGATTGTGAATTAAGATGAAGAGCAAGATCGTGGACCTTGAATTGCTCTGATGTTGTCGTTTAGATCTGTCAAACTGATAGCCAAGCTCTTCGACTTAAGTGCCTATCAGGCATTTGGAAGATCACACGGACCAATCAATTATTTCCAAACTTATTTGAAACTTATCTCTAAGTTTTTAATGCGTGTCCTCCATACATTCTGAATTGATAACGGAGAAATTAATCGCTCTGTAATTCTCAGAGATCGATTGAACCTGATTACTTGGCACCCCCTCTTTTCCTGATTTATCACACTTGCGGGGCGATTCTTTTGATAATAAGACTACGTCAGATTGATCTGATATTTTTCCCCAGATGATTCTCTGGGGAGAAAATTCCCAAAGTCACGCATCTCACGGTACCCTACTGTCTTTATTAATGATTGACCCATTGCTTCCGTAATCCACGAAAGTAAATTGCAGTGAGATTACAATATCCTACAACCTACAATATCACAATTCCTCCTCTTCAAATGTGCAATTAGTAAATCTTTAAGCGCTGCACAGACTTTTGTTAAACTTTCCTCCATGACTTCCAGGTAAAAATAAAAATGCGTACAAATGCATTGAACTCGAACTCGAAGAACTGTTTATTCTCCGGGCGGTAATAAACCGATAAATTCGGGTATTGTCCAATGAAATATCCCGTGCCAGGTGGAATTTTTGGCTAACTGGCAATTTTTCATGCTAACACTGAATTTTTTTCCTAAGAAGTTGTTCTCCGCGTAACGGCTTATGGTACCGCCTATTCTCCAGTTTATCTCACATCGGTGGGATTTAACGAGTCATGAAAAAGTATGTTTGAGGTGTAAAGCGTGAACGATAGATTCTAAAGGATGCTGCCTACCGTTTTATAGACTGTAATATTCGAAGTAGATCGGAAAACTGCACACCCGTTGTGAAATATCTAATGGGAGATACTGGAGCTGGAGGCTCTCAAAGCCCTCAATAATCCCTCAAAACCGATAGTCAATAGTAGATCAATAATAAAAATACCAGTGAAATATGCGGTTTTTTTTTCAGGCAACGAAATGAATTACAAGGGCAGCGGGAAAGTCCATTTCGGAGTGGACGATGTCTCCCTATATGGCACCCCTAAGGAGGAATTGGGCCCAGGACTTCCAGGACAGGAGGTCAAACAGAGCTTCCTCAAGAATCAGCTGCAGGCGCTCTTCCAACCAACGGACAACAAGCTGGCGATGAAGCTATTTGGCAGCAAAAAGGCTCTCATGAAGGAACGAATCAGGCAAAAAGCTGCCGGTCACTGGGTCATACATCCTTGCTCCAGTTTTCGGTGAGTTCAGTTTCATTTTCTGGCGCAAGTGGATAAACATGCGGTTTTTTGTTTCCCCGGGAGTGATGGGCTTCATTGGTCGGTTGTTGTTTGTTTGGACGATCAATCACTTTATTTTTTTGCAAAAGCATTCTATTTAAAGAGAATCAGGAAGTGTAATTCAAAAGCAACTATTTCAGATCGGTTGGGGTTTTGATGAATGCCTCGAAATATTTTTCCAACAATATCAAATATTATTCTCTCATCAACTGTTTGTTTTCAACAGTATTTTTTTTAGTGCTTTTAAAAAATGTCTTGATTGAAGAAAACTATCGCATAAAAAAATAGAACTATTATATTGACAACTTTTTCTGTTTGTAAATGAACCGATTGAAAATTGAATGTTATCTTTCAAACAGCGTTACAAATAGCTTTGGTGAAGGAAAAAAACGAGAAAAAAACAAGAAAAAAATATCGAAATTGAAAAACCATTCCAAATGAAAACTGTGGGTCAATCTGAATCGAGGCGAATGCACTTCCACGGGGTTTAAACTACGCGTGGGCGGCCAGTTTGTGGGCAATTAAACGAGAATTATGCAAAGCCACAAATCGGGCTACATGAATACCTACCAACCCATAGTCACGGATGCTTTATGCTCAATGTCAGAAAAGATTTGCGTATCAGTTGGTATTCAATCCAAAGGCGCCACGAGGTCCGAGAGATGTCGATTTAACGTTAACATTTCTCCCCATGTCTATGTTCTGTCCAAACTTCAAACCAACTGCTCCACATTTCCAATCGTTAAGATTTACAACTTTGATATAGAAGAGAAATTGAGTCGAGTGGTATATTCCTGGTTAATACCCGCTTTGATTGCACTATCAGGCGCTCTAGTTATCCGGTTGCCATTTTTAATAAATAAAAATATATAAATAAAATTTCATATCACTTGTAGTTGACGTATTCATGTCGTTATGTTGTGCCAAAAAAGGAATTCTATTGACACTTTAATGGGATTTTGATAAAAAAAAAACCCAATGGAACGTTTAAAAAATTGGAAATTTTCTGGATGGTTTAGCAGTTTCATTTTCAAACGGCTACGATTCATTGATCTTGTAGTGAAGAAATATAAAAGTCTACTATGATTGCATTCAGTTCATTGAACTTTAAGACTCTATTTACTTGCATTTTGTGGATTTATATTCCTCTCACTGAACTATTGACCTGATATTTATAGTTCCTATTGATTTCTTTATAAAATCTCGATTTTTTACTGGAAAATGCAGCCAACGTTTTTTATCAGTATGAATTCCAATTCAGAATTTGAAATTCCTTATCAATTTTAACCACAACAAATTAAAAAAATCTTTTGATGGCTCAATTTTCTAAAATGTCCCTAGATAAAAATCTGGTGATTGGACATTGAAAATAAAAAAAAAATGTCTAAACCTCCGCTGAAAAATCGTTTTGAATTGAATGGAAAAATCTTTTCAAATTCCCTCCACTGGATAATTGATATTGGAAATTTTATCAGTTTCCTTCCTTCGTCTGCTGGGGTTTGCTCAGTCACTCATCTGATATGATTCTACGTGTCAGTGCGAAACTCGATGCCAAATGTCAATGGTACCCGAAAAAGTGCAACGCAGCGTGAGAACACGTGAAATCGCCGCAAGGCATCAAACCATCTGGAAAACCTATTCCATTCCCATTGTCGAGCCAAATAACCCACATCCTGTACATATTTTTGGTGACTCAGTGGAGGAGGAGGAGATACTTGAGATAGGTGACACGAGCAAAGTCCATTTTAGCTGAGAACGCTATGCATATCTTATTTATAGCTGATTCCGCTGATATCCGGTATTGATTTAACCGTAAATAGTCTCATCCATCATTCAGCGAGAATTCAAATGTTTGGGTAATTAGCAAACTAGGGTCACCGTGTGAGATCTTTCGCATTGATGACAAATAAAAAAACTATAAACCACATGGAAAAGAATACTTTAAAAATACATCTAATATTTGGCCAATTATATATATATGTATATTTTTTTTTCAATTTATAAAGAAAGCGTTTGCAAATATTTTTTTTGTGTTAAAAAACATATAAATTAGATCAATTCCAGATATTCTTAAATATATTTTTCAAAAGAGAGTGATTCTGGCGCGGGACAGCTGCTCACAGGCAGGATGTACCTGAAAAATTTGATGAAAAATTGAGAAGTTATCTCATTTTAACTAGAATAACAGAAAAAATTGGCAATGCGGGGGAAGACAGTTGAGGGTTTTGAAATTGAGTTCAAATGGACTAGCCCATATCCCCCTCGGTTTATCATCGGGGTTAAAAAGCCCTGGAAGAACTTTTCTCCGAGGCAGAACGGGGATGATACCTATCCACCGGAGGAGAAAAGGAGACGAAGTTTTCATCCGAAGATTCGCTGTCCACATCTCGTGTTTTTTCTTGCCAGAATAATGGAACGACGTCATTACTCTTGACTGTTGCTTCATTCATCTGTAACATTCCGCAAGTATTGGTTTCATCAGCAAGAAGTGTGCGGAGTAGGAAGCACTGGCCGTTCCCTGATAATTATCTGATTAAAGCTGATGAAGTGTCAATTACTGTACAATGTCATGTCCGACATTTAACTCAGATCAGTTCCATCGTTATGAGATTTTTTTTCATCACCAATTATCATCATTGATTATGCCCCAAGTTGTTCAATACTCATGATCGGGATACATCATGCTTTAATGGGTGCTGTAATGGCGCAAAGACTCTTGTGGAAAATCATCTCAGAATAATCATCGGATTAAGGCTATTCTTAGGCTGATCCCTTCAGTGGTTGCGTTGGTGTTGATAACGCCTGATTGTCTGCTCCTCAATTTCTCTCTCTCATATTGTAATCATTCGAGCATACAACAATATTCGACCCATTGTTCTAGTCCATATATTTACTGCTGCATCAGGGAAATTCATTTTTCAAAAATTCACACAGAATGAAAAATCTTTCGGTGGAATTTATGGAGCAGAAACTTGATAAATCACTTTCTTCCTCGTAAATCTGTTTTCTTTGGAATCATTTTTTCGTGCACAAACTATGGGGAAAAAGTTCCATAATTGAAGACGGTAATTGAACGTAACATGGTAAACCTCATCATTCCGGTTTTATAACCTGTATCTGTCATCCCGAGTTTTAATGCTCTGCATGGAGAGAACAAGCTCAATAAAAATTACGTGAAAGTTCTGTAATTCAAGAATTATATTTTTGTGGATAATTTTCCCACATAAATAATATTCTAAAACTGCCCCGTAAAAATTAAAAGTGATACAAGTTGATGACTTACAGCTATTGAGTAAGTTTTTCGTAACTGTCTCTGAGACTAAGGGAGGTATATTGGCATTTTGCAAGTAAACGATTTCGTAGCTCTGAAGAAGCTCTACAAAAAAAATTTCAACAGGCATATCATTATCCCCCTCAGTTTCCAAGATGTTTGCGAAAACTTGAGCGAAGAGATGAAACCAACAATTTCCTTTACCTGTCTGAAGTACTTGTGTGGGAACTGAATTCGATGAGTTGATACCACGAAATGATTCACAATCATCAACAAAAATCCACATCGCCTATTTGCCTATTCCACACGCAACCTTATCCACCAACAATAGACCCCTAAATATGTTTCCGTCGCGGGCTAATATTCCGAACATCACATCCGCATGCACATCGTCAACGTCGTCGCGTGCTGACGCAAATCATGTGCACCATTCCTCACCATCAAGAGCTCTGAGCCGCGGATTACACCAAAATTCGTTGGCAAATTAGCGGAACAGCCAAGACAAAATGAAAAATGAACTTTTTAGGAATGAATTATTGGTCCTGGAATATTGGTCCTGGGTTCAGCAACAACTTTTGTCACGCACATTCAGGCATCCTGGAACTCCTCAATAGCTGTTTCCTCTCCCTCGTTACAACAAAAAACGGAAACCTGGTTTCCTTGGTGTGCAAAGCTGCTATCTCCCGCCTCCCGAGAGTATCATAAATTGCTGTTCAACACTCCTCGTATACATTACAAAAACCATCCGGCTGCAACGGGAATATCCTCGGGGCTTGGATTATTCAGGCACTTTCTCAATTTCTAGGTTTCCTTTTTCTCCAAACAAACTCCACCACCCCACTTTTCCCCAAGAATCACGGAGAGAAAACTTTCCGACGCCTTTTTACTACTTTCAGCAGGCACCACTTCTGCTCTCCCCCATGAATCCATTTTATTCTTTTGTAATCGAAAAACCTCACCTATCTCCGTTTGTTGGATTTATACACGCGGATTAATACCGGACGAGATCGTCAAATGAAAAATTTATGAAATCTACACGAATTTTCAGGGGATTCGAGTCGAAAAGAATTAGTTTGCACTATTGGATTATTTGGAACATATGCTGGTGAGTGCTGAAAAAATACCTGAAATTGTGAAGATTCCTAAAAACAAGAACAGGTCTCTAAAAATTAGCAAACCTTTCTCTCTGGAAATTTCTCTTGAATACTTCCATTATCAAACAGTCGTATATTTTGACATGTCTCGGGTCTAAGTGATTTAGTGATGTAGAGGAAAGTTATGAATTATCAAAAATGGTTAACACTTTCTTATCTTTATATAACATCTTTCCGATCTTTCAAACTCTATCTGTCATACGGAGTTTCAATGTTCGGTGTGTAGAGAAAACAGTCAATAAAAATGATGCGAGCAATTTGAGGTGAGTAATTTGGAAATGGCGACATTTTGAAGTTTGTCAGTTGTGACTTCAGTGATTTGGAGAATTGTTGGTCGATCAATTGCAGTGAATGCTGAGCATTGTTACCCCATGATGGGAATCCATCCCTCTTCGATATTGACTCATTCCATCAGTTAACCAGAAACTTTGGTGTTACATAACGGAACCGGTAGGAAACCATTGGCTACATTATTTAAATTCGCAAACTACGTAATGATGGGGCACCCAACGATGTGCGAGATGAGGGAGGCAGTT